ACAGGTATTGTAATACATCGAAGAGTGTACTTATAATACATGTATGGTAATACATTGATTTATATAATCATAACTCACATAATATGACACATTAATCTATGAAAAGTATGTGAAAATGAAATGAGAAATGTTAAGAAAGAGAATATGAGAAACTTTAGGAATAAGTATAGATAGTCACAGAGATACATGGGTGTGTAGAAGATGGGGACGATTTTAAAAATCTGGGAAAAATGAGGGTGCTGGATGCTTTTTAGGAAAAGACATCATAGACCTCACACTCATTTTCTTACCTAAATCCTTAACCACACTTTTGCTAAAAGGGACCGAGTTGGCATACCTTGTATGAAGTCCTCAAGGGATCCTATGGGCAATGAATATGAAAGTGTAATGAATGCGAAGTAGTATAGAAATTGTGTAATTATAATATATGCATTGTAACATATCGATTGGTATTGTTATGATATATGAGTTGTAATACATCGATGGGTATGATTAGAATATATATATTGTGACATATTGATTGATGTAATATAATACATGTATTATGTCATACAAATTGGTATAGAAGTGTGATTGACTTAGTATATATACTCTGCTATGATAATTCTTGGTGTGATCTTTGTGTTTTTAGTAATGAGTATATATTGAGATATTAATTTTAGTTTCATTTAAATTATTCTATCAAATAAGAGATTTAGTAGGGTGAGAAATACTCACCCTTACTTATTATTTTTAGGAAATGAAATCGAAGAAAATAAAAAGAAGATTGGTCCATTCTAGGATCATAACCTAGTGATATTGATAGGAAAGACAACTCTGTAGAATTTTAATTATTTGAAATTGTAATATTTTAATAAGCTTCTAGTTTAAATTGACAAAGTTATGTAATTGTTCTAAACGTCAATTTTTAAATTTATAATACTTTGATAAGTTTAATTGTAAATATTAATTTGAAGTGTACCTATAATATTAATAGTCAATGATTTTAATTGAAGTTTATATTCATTTTAAATAGAAATTTACTCCGTTAGAAGACAATATTGTTTGTTTCAAATTTATATGTATGTATCGTAGACTGAGTAAATTCTTAAAAAGAAAATTTTAGTTTCATTTTCTTTACAAAGTTAAATTTTATAAATGATAATTTTAAAAATTTTGAATACCTTCAAGTTTTTATAAAACTGAATAACATAAAATGAAAGTTTGACTTTTCCTCAATTCTTTAAGTCATAAAAATAAAAAGGTTTACCTTAATTACTTTTCTTCAATATAATTTAAATTACAATTAGAAATATAAATTAAGGACGTTACAGTTAACAAAGCCAAAAAAATGTTAGTGTATTGATTTTCTAATAAAAAATTATTCTTTGAATATTCATATTTGTCACAACAACGATATTTTAACTAGACAATTTATTTTAATTACCAACACATTGGGTGCTAAGGTTAAGAGAAAAACAACATTAGATGTGATTAATAATGTTAAACGTTAAAACATATGTTTGGGGCTTAGGGATAAAAATTTATCCCATAACATAGCCATGTACAATAGTGCATATAGAAAAGACATTATTCAAGTGGCACACACTAATCTTAGTCATTTACACTAAAAGTCATGTACAAAATGATAAGTAATCAGGTGTATTCTAACATCAAATATAAATTTCGGATAGATTTTAAAACATGTTGAGATGTGCAAACAAAATTTCACATTAAATAAAATTAGAGAGAATTAAGGCATATAAGTATAATAGATATCTCCATCAGTACGAGGTCTTTTGATAGATGTCTAAAAATAAAATTATAAGCGTTAAACATAAAGTAGACAATATCATACTAGTGTAAAAATATAATAAAAAATCTATACTTATTATAACAAAATAACAAAACATAAGGTTTAACAAATGACTTATTATCTTCAATATTCTTTTTAAACAATATCATACACTTGCCACGTCAGCCTCTACATTTTGAAATTCTGCCTTCCTCTCAACATTTTGATTTGTCTCTCAGCCCATACTATTATTTACTATAGGGTGATTCTTTACTACTTTAAGTTTATCTTCTTTGTGTAGGTGTAAGGGTAAAGTAGAATATCTGCTTTCATTTGTAGAAAGGCTTTTAGGGATGCCTAGAATACGCCCCCCCTCTATTTTCGGGCCGTACTACCTCCTTTATGGCTATTGGGCCTACTCCTCGAGTCAATTAGGTTTGTTTTTTAAGACTCTATTATGGTGTCTTTGCTTTGCTTTGCCCTCGTTGTTGCTATTAGTTCCCTTATCTCTGATTCATTTCTCTTCCATTTAGGTACATTATACAATGAAATTGGTTCAAAATTTGTTTGTTGTTGTTTGGTACTAAATGTTTGCACCATATTATCAATTGTGTGTAATATATGTTGTTAGTTGGATGTCATGTCTGTCCATGTGTTTTATATTAAGTCATTTCTATCTCTTCCCCCTCAATATTGTTCCTTTTATCAGTTGCATATGGGAAATTATTTATTGCTAAAATTATCATTTTCTATTTAGTCATTTGCCACGTCAACCCGAGATGGATTACCTTCGTCCTTCCTAAATGCATTCTTTTTTCTTTTTTTTTCTAAGTCGGTCATTGGTGTTGCAAATTGAACCCCTGGAAAAAGGCCCAAATCTAAGCTTTGAATTATCATATACAACCTTTGCTCTATCCTCTCTGCACTTCTACTCATGGCTAATAAACTAACACTTATAACAAAAGTCTTGTAATCTTTCAAATTTTAAGGAAAGCCAAGTTGTTGGCAGCACCTTCTCTCGAAATTCAAAAGCCAGTGATAAGTGATTGTTTGATGATAGTAAATCCAGATTAGGATTTATCCAAGATTACACGCAATGTCTGCAGTTATGAGCATATTTAAAAATATTCTGTCTGCAGTGGTTATAAATATATTTTTAAATACGCACTAACTTGCCTTCTATGTTGAATTAAAATGGAGAAAAATCTATTAATCGAATGTAAGCAAGAATTTTTGTGATCTTATAGCATAATGTTGATCTTCAAGACCTTTCAAGAATTTTATAACATAATTACTATTTCTATAACATCTCCGAATAGGTACCAAGGCACGCGCACGTTGAACTTGGCAAGTGTATGCAGGAACTGGTTTGAAATTCACTAATTCTTGCTATAAACTTTTCAAATGCGTAAAATAAGCAGCTAGTGAAAAAATTCCTTCTCTCTTGCAACAAACTCGGAAATACGAAACACAAATTATAATGAAGAATAACAATTTTTTGTTTTTAACATCCTAAGGCACGAACAATTTGAAGTAAATTGACGTTGCATAACAATTGTTCTGAACATCATAAAGCACCGACATTGAAGAAAATTGACATTGCATAATAATTGTAAATCGAACCCATGATGCATAATTTTGTTTCTTGTAAGACACTCTGCATTGTTTAAGACGCACTTTTTAGCAAACGTCAAAAAAGTCATGGGCGCATAGTTTGGGGAGCGAAACAATGGTCCACCATAGTTGATTTTTTACCATGAAATAGGTATAAGGTGGCAGACAAGTCCACCATTGAGTCCAAACCGAGGATGTTCATGAATCAAAAACTAAACCCCACAATCACGTGCTAGGATTTATTTAAATTTTAAATTACCCTCCATGTTTACAAAGTTTAAGCATAGAAAAGACATTTAAAAAAAAAAAAAAAAACCCTTTGAAGTGTTTATTTTCAAACCTCACCACAAAGTCACTTTTCACCTCTTCAAACCGTTCATCGCGGCTTGAAACAATGTCAAACATCATAGGCCGTGTTTTGTCATTTCCATTCTAATTAACTTTACAATTCTGATTTACCAGTCAAACTTCCCCTCATTCGCTGGGTATGAGTTTACTGACGGATCTAAGTTAAGATCACTAATGGGACAGCTGCTCTCAAAAGATCTTTTATTTTCATATATATTCTAAAATTTAATAATAATACATTTAATGTCATTTAATTAATTTAATATTTGCACCCAATATTCATTAAATAAGTTAATTTGAACCACACAAATTATTTAAATATATAACCTCAACTTTTTTTTATTCTTGTTACTTAAAAATCTTTAGATCCCTCCTTCCCTGAGCTAGTAGCTATATGCTTTTAGTAGGCACATTAAAATACACAAGCCCACGTGCCAAAGCGCAAGCAAACCACGTTAAATGTCGAGTACTGTTGCTGTAAACAGCCTTAGAATTAAGTTAAAATGAAATTATTTACTGCAACCTCTCTTACGCAGTTCACATGCGATGTACCCAGTGGTGCCACGTTTACGGGTCCAGTGTCTTTTCAACATCTATATTCTATCCAACACCACCACTTTCTACCTTGTCATTTACAGGGGACCAGAGGATCAGAAAGCAGATCTATAATTCAACACATAAAGAGAAAAGGAAGCGCAGATCTATGCAAATTACAACTGGCTACATTATTAGCACAGGGCCAATAAATAAACTCAATAAAGCAAGTATACTTGTACTAAATTATAATGTTGCAGTGGGCTTCATACCAATGTGTAAACATGCAAGTAAAATTGAAAAAAATATAATTAACTTTGACGTGGATAAACGAACCTTTGATTCAATTTAGTAAGAAAAAACAATACTAAACATTGGATAAATATAATTAACTTTTTTAACATCACTTTTAAGTACTATATTTAAATATATAATTTTTTTCAAAGGTTTATTATGTTTTTAAATAGAAATACTTAAATTCAAGTCTAAGAATTAAGATTAGTAAAATCGTATGATTAAAAATAAGTCTCATTTCGTTAACACAACCCACTTCTTAATTTCACAAAGCTCGATCAAACAAGAATGATAAAATAATGAGTGGATAAAGACAAATCAATGCGTGGAGAACTCATCATATAGAATTGTATGTATGAAGGACAATGTGGCACAGTGGAAGTAAATGAGAACTAGTGTACTAGGAGCAATAGTAATAATAAGAGTATATGAGAATTTAAATGTCACGGTCTCTAGAGCACTCAGGGGGAAGTTGAGGGTAGCGCTTCCTGTCAGTGCAGTAGTTGTAGATGGTGTATTTCTGGCGCACCCATCTGAGTCTACGCCATTGAACAGCATCAAGGTCACGGTACTGTGGCTGATCCCACCATCTTTTGCCCTGTGTAGCACAGAACCTGGCATTCACAGAGGCTTCACACCCATCAATGTGGAACCCTTTGTAGGCTGCAATAAAAGGAGCTTTGGACCAATCTGTTTTCTCCAAACCACCCCTTGTGGCCCAATCATCAGCATTCCACAAACTGTTGTATATCTTCATGGGTTGGAAAAATGGGAACTTCACTCCCAAGTCCTTGCAGTTCTTGAACACCCTGATTGGGACATCATCCACCAAGAATCTGCACATCCCACATTTGAACCTTTGTCATTAAGCATATTTGTGGCTTTACATTTTATATTTTAATCTCACAGTTAAATTAAAATTTGGGGAGTGAGAGGAAATGGTGAAAAATGAAAAGGTATGCTAGATTTTATTTTATTTTATCTGATTGGAGGAATGACTCTGAAGTGCTTACACGACTTGATACATGTTCCACAGAATAGAGTATCTGTGGTAGGCTTTTGTTGGATCAAACCAGAGGTAGATTCTTTGTTCTCTGTCACCCTTGCCTCCGGTAAAAACATTTGTTTGCAAAATGTAAGGTTGTCCTGTTCTGTTACCCAAGAACTCAAAGTCTATCTCATCGTGCTCCGCATTTTGGGAAGATAGCTGCAGAGTTCCAATCGCAACATAAGTCATGTTCACACTCAACAGCCAACACAGAAAGTGAAAACACAGAAAGTGAAAAACCCTCAACAAAAGTGAAAAAAAAAAGTGGAACCACAAATAAAAAAAAAGATTTTATTTTTATTTTAATATTTGTGCATACATAGAAAGCAGTGACTGTGCCAGCTGAATCGCCTGGAACCATCTTGATGTACATGCTGAAGTGACCAAACAAGTATGATCCTTTAGACTGGAAGCCAGTTCCTGTTCAAAATTATAGGAAATATGAATAATATACCAAGTTTATAATAAAATAAATAAAAGGTAGTTATCAAAATCATGAACATTGTTCTACATAAAGATGTTGGGGGGTATAAAGTGCAGTACAGCAACTGTATCTATACGCACCAGTGTACTTATCAAGATGAAGCTGAATCTCAGAACCTCCATTGAAGTATTTAATGTGATCAAAAGCCCAAGTGGGAACGTAGTTTCGACCAAACTCTACATCCACTGGGCTCCGCGGGTTGGCGCAAAATGCAGCAGAGGCCAATGATGCCAAAATGAGGAACACGGTGCACAAAGAAAAACCCATTTTGTAAGTCTTTTTCCTAGTTGTGAAACCTTGAGGCTACCATTGGGTATTTATAAGCATTAGACCCTGCCTTAGACCCTTGTTCCTCTCTCTTTCCTCTGCATATTTTCTTTTTCTTTTTTATTGGCGTTGGGGGACAAGAATCCTGCATTTGCCTTCGTTACGATTAGTGTTGGACGCAACTGATATTGGGCCTCTATTACGCGTTAGTTGTACTTCATTGCTAGCTAATATATCATCAATTATTTTCAAATTTGAGTTCTATTATGTACAATAATCATAATCTTTTGCATATATTTTAGACTTTTTATGTAAATCATTTCATGTTAATGATTTTTCGTGACAGGTCGGCTCATTGCGTATCAAAAAGGTCCCCTTGTCTATCTTAAAAATAATTTTTTTATCATATTATATAATTTTTATAACATTTTTTAATGGCAAAATTTGTTATGACAAGATTTCGAAATCAAATAAATGCTGAGTTGGGGTTCCATAACTTAATTGTTTACATGAAGAGAAAAAAAAAAAAAGCACTAAAATTCTTTTTCTTTTCCTCAAAATTGAGTAGACACACAGCTGGGCTTTATTTTACCTTGCTTCTTTTAACTTTCATTGTTTTACCTTTAAAAGACACATACTTTATCTTTCTTACTTAATTCTTAGTTTAATTTGCTTCCCTTGTTTATTCACCTTAGTTATCACCGTTTTATGGCTACCTATTGTTATTGTTTAAATTCGCATTGTATTGGTAATTGTCATTTTTAGTATTTTCTGAGTGTTTTCGGTACTTATAAACATTATTAAATTAGAATTTAAATAAAAAATTATAAATATATTATATTCTTTTTTAAAAAATTAATAAATTTTAAAAAGCGTATATATTATTATTATTGATTTTATTATATTAAATAATAGTAAATTAAAGAAATAAGTATTTTAAAATTCAAAAACAATTTATAAATTAAAAAAATATTGAATATAAGAAAAGCTGCATAACATAATATGTAAGAAAATAAATTTAAAAATAACCTCATTTAAAATAATTTTTAAAAATATTCTTAATTAAGAATGAAGACTCACGTATTGCACAGTGGTAATTTTGCTATTTATAAACTCTAACAATTTTTATTTTTTTTATTTCACTCTGTTTCATTGGTTGCTTTCTTACTTCTGGTTTCTAACTATTTAATTTGAATGATTAAAACATTAAAGAAATCACTGGGCCAAAAACAAAACTCATAAAAGGACTGAATACTATATTCAATCTAAAACTTTAAGGTATTACTTGTAAAATTTTATTTAATATGAAATTTTTTACTCATTTATAACTTCAAAATTTTCTTCTGTCAATGCTTAAATTTAACTAATAGATTTGAATACTTATTGTCTGTTTATAAAATTCATTTTTAAATTTATTTTCATTATAAAATATTGCAAATGAGTCCTTTGACAAAAGAAAATATTTATTCTATGATCTCTAATCTCTGTATATTATCTTATGTTAAAGAGAGATGAAAAAAAAAGAAAAAAAAAAGAGAACGATAAATAGAATAAAGATAGAGTTAAAAAATAAAAAAAATTAATTTTTATTTAGATGCATAAATAAATAAATAATTTTTTCCTTATATTTTTATGATGTATATTAGTTTTTTTTAATATTGAGCATTTTATGTTAAATTTTATATTAATTTTTATTTTTTTATAATCTATTTTCTAATTTGATATATATATATATATATATATATATATATAATCAATCAATTTATACATATAATTTTTAAAATTTTTCTTAAAAAATATTTTTAGAAATATTTTAAACGAAAGTGTTTTTAGGAATTAATTTTTATTAAGGAATTTTTTTATATTATACATTTTATTTTTGTAATTTAACAATTAATTAAAATTTGAATTTTATAATGTAGTTCTTTTTATTTTAATTCTATTAAAATATTATTGTTTATTTTATTTTCTTTATAAACTTTCATAAAAGTACATATCTTTTAACAATTTTTTAATTATCTTATTTTCTTTTCTTACATTCTCGTCACTTCCATTTCTCTCTTCCCTTTTAAATTTAATAAAAAAAAATTATCATTTCTCTTCAGCATTTTTTTTATCGTCTCTCCTCCACATTTCTTATCCCTTCTTGATTCTAACAAATCTTTTTTCCTTTCCCCCTTTTTTTTTCTTACAAGACCCCAATGTATACTTTAATAACTTGTTTTTCACCTCTTTTTTGTTGATTCTTAAAGTCATAGAAGAATATAGAAAAATAGGTCATGATAATGTTGTGGATAATACGTTATTTGCGAATGATGCCACCATTGTTTTACTCTCTATCTTTTTCTATAATTTCAAGATCCAGAAAAAAAAATATATGAGTTGTGGATCACCTTTAAATTTTAATTATTTTTTTTGTAATTTTTTTTATTCTTAAAGTCATTAAAGAATATAGGAAAATAAATCAGATAATGTTGTGGCTAATACTTTATTTGCACACGATATTACCATTGTTTTGCTCTCATTTTTTTGTATAATTTCAAGATCCAAATAGAAAAGATATGAGTTGCAAAAACATAGACAAAGATAAGAGGAGAAAAAAAAGCGAAAGAAAAAACAGAGAATTTTTATTGAAATTTAAAGGAGAATTCGATATAGAAGAGGGGTGAGATAAGGAAGAAGAAAAGCAAAAAGAAATAAATTGTTAGACTAAAAAAAAAAAAAGTAACATGTCATGGAGGTATAAATGAAGGAGGAAGAAGAGGAAAAAAATAATTAAAATATATTGTTTTTGTTAAAAAAAACCAATTTAAATATCTTTATAAATTAAGATATTAAAATAAAAATAAGAAATAAAATCAATAATTAAAAAAATAATATACCAATTTAGCTTATAAAATATTTCTCTGTCTCAGTATATTATTTGTAAGTACAAATTCTTAAACAAATTCATACTTGTTTAAGAATTATAATATTTATCTTTTAAAAATTTATATAATATTTATCTTTTAAAAATTTTATGAATTTTTAAAGATCCATATAATATTTTTAATCAATTATTTAAAAGTTAATTATAATTTAGTAATATTCATCCGGTACACAACATATCAACAGTTGATTTTATTTTAACAGTAACACACACTGCAACTTAGACAAACTAACAAATTTCTAACAAAGACTTTTGTCACGTTCTGTGCTACATAGCCGTCGTCATACCCCATCCCGCCATCACCTCCAATAGCAAATTTTCACCAACTTCCGACCAACCTTAAACGGTTGCGTTTTCATTATCTCAGCAGTTTTTGCTTTTTTTATTTCAAAATTTACATATTATTCTTTAACTAATTTTTGTTAATTAAATGTAAAATTTATTTTAATATAAAATTATATTTAATTTTTTTTATTAAAATTTAATTTTAATTTTAACTAATAAATAATATAATAATACCAAAAAAAAATTTTTTTTCACCTAATTAGATTGAGTGAGACTGTATTTGAATAAGCATTTTGTTATCAATTTGAATGTTTGCATGGCTGTAGATCATAATCCTAGTTATAAGGACAGCGGAAAAGAAAGATCTTTTTATATTGCTTTCCTTTAGTATTTATTTATTCTTATATCAATTTGTATATATTTTAATAAATGTATAATTTAAATAATTTATATATGCATTTTATTCGTATTTAATTACTCGAAATAAATTTTATCAAAATCAATTCTACTCATTTAAACTAAACAACTATAAACATTTGCATCACGTAATTTCACTATAGAAAAATGTTTTCATTATGTTAAGAGGTTTGCTTCAGCAGTTATTTTTTAAACATTAAAAAATTGAAATAAAAAATATATTATGTATAGAGATGATAATATAGAACTATATAAAGCAAAAATGTTGTCATGGTACTGTTATCAAATAAAAATATAACGAATTAACTAGTTATTTGTTTGCACCTTTTATTTACAGAGCTTCATGTAAATTATTTAAAATTAAAATATTTTATTTCATGAACATCAATCTTAAAAATTAATGCTAAAAATATAAAATTAATTTTTTAGAAGAATTAAATAAAAATTTTATGTTTTTAACAAGATAAATATTTTTTTGTGATCAACACTTTTTATGTTTTATTCATTAAAACTCATAAAAGTTTATTCTCTTTGATCCACTTTGGAAAGTTTTAATGATCCTTATTATAAAACATTTTATAATTTTTATTAAATATTTATTATTTGTATTTGATCTTATTAAATAAAATTGGTGAAAACTTAATTTAAATTAATAACAAAATATTAAAATTTATTTTAAAAATAATGAGAATATAAAAAAAATTACGCCGTCTTCATATATAAAAAATAATTTTTATTAAAAATACATTAATGATATATGTAGTCGACTGAGTCTATGAAAAATTTACATTCACGGTCCATTAAAATTAAACTCTAAATATTAATAGATAAAGATAAAATTATTGTGTTATAAAACTTTAAAAAAAATAATTTTAATTAATTTATGTAATATAATTAAAAGTGCGTGATAAAGTAGTCTAAAGGAAGTATCTTTCTGGCTGACGCACGAAGAATCTGAAGAAAATAGGATATTGGTCCATTGAATGGGGAAGCCAAATTTGTCGGAAAGAAATCACGTTCACAATGATAACTAGAGTCTTAAAATAACCAGAATGGACCTCGAGATCGGAAATGGATGTAGTAGCAACGAGCTGTTGTTGTTACCATTATGGAATAGAGTACGCATTAAGTATAATTTTTAGAATTCAATATGGAGTTGATACCAAGGATTAGGATAAGAATCAGAAAAGTATAATTACAGAGCCTCATCTGAATTCACGCCCCACTCTTTGATTAACATAATGGTAATAATTAATGGTACAAATATGGCATCATAAATGATCAATACAAGAAAGAAAAACATGCAGCAGCAATCATAAAAATAGTATATGACAATGACAATTCAAATGTCACCGTTTCTTCTGCATTCAGGGGAAAGTTGAGGGTAGCGCTTCCTATCAGTGCAGTAGTTGTAGATGGTATATTTATGGCGCACCCACTTGAGTCTTCTCCATTGATCAGCATCAAGGTCCCGGTACTGTGGCTGATCCCACCATCTCTTGCCCTGTGTGTCACAGAACTTGGCATTCACAGAAGCCTCACACCCATCAACGTGGAACCCTTTGTAGGCTGCAATGAAAGGAGCTTTCGACCAATCTGTTTTCTCCAAACCACCCCTTGTCGCCCAATCATCAGCATTCCACAAACTGTTGTATACCTTCATGGGTTGGTCAAAGGGGAATTTTACTCCCAAGTCCTTGTTGTTCTTGAACACCCTGATTGGGATATTGTCCACAAGGAACCTGTGTAGTACCCCACATTTGGATTTATGTTATTCAACGTAGCATACTCATTCAAAACTTGCGTTTTCTATCGCAAAAGATTTTTTATCGTTAATCAATTAAATGTTATAATTTCATCACATTTTTAAGGCAAGTCTTGCAGAAGTAAACAAATTTTAATAATGAAAAACGCTAAAATTACTGGTTAAAAAATTAAAATTAAAATATTTTATTAAAAAATTGTAAACGTATACTCACTTCTATATTTTTTAATGCCTTGTGAATCTATAGTTGAACGATGGTGCATTTGTGAAAATTTTTAGTTTTGTAGTGGAAGTAAAACAAAATTTTCGTGGAGTACTTACACAATTTGGTACATGTTCCACAGAACGGAGTATCTGTGGTAGCCTTTCGTTGGATCAAACCAGAGATAGATTCTTTGTTCTCTGTCACCCTTGCCTCCGGTGAACACATTTGTTTGCAAAATGTAAGGTTGTCCTGTTCTGTTCCCCAAGAACTCAAAGTCTATCTCATCGTGCTCCGAGTTTTGAGAAGATAACTGCAGGGTTCCAAATTCAAATTATATCAAAGTTCACGTTCACATACGTGCTACAACACAGCAACTAAAGAACCATCAATGTAAATAAACAAATTGATTGAAACAAAAATGAAAAATTCTTGCATTTATTTATTTATGTTTTTGTGCATACGTAGAAAGCAGTGACTGTGCCAGCTGAATCGCCAGGAACCATCCTTATGTTCATGCTGAAGTGGCCAAACAAGTATGATCCTTTGGTCTGGAATCCAGTGCCTGCTCAAATTGTATGAAACATGAATAATAAAGGGGTAGTTAATCATAACTTTGTTCTACGCAGAGATGATAAAATCGGCCCATTCAATTAACTCCTTTAAAACATAGTATTTGAATTTTAAAATTTAAATTTTAGGATTAAATAAATTTTAACCAATAATTTGATTTTAATAGGACTAGTACGTAAAAAAGATGTTAAGGGGGGTAAGGCAAAGGTACTAATACTACATACGCACCAGTGTACTTGTCAAGAAGAAGTTGAATTTCGGAACCTCCATTGAGGTATTTGATGTGGTCAAAAGCCCAAGTGGGAACGTAGTTTCGGCCGAATGGTACATCCACTGGCCTCCGAGGGGTGGCACAGAGTGCAGCAGAGGCTAGTGACACCAAAATTACACACACTGTCCATAAAGAAGAACCCATTTTGGATTTTATTTCAACGAGGGAACGCTGAACCAGTTATACGACTCTTCATGCCTCCATCAAGGTATTTATAGTCTTCATTCAGAGTTTGGATCCATATTCCTCTCTCTCTCAACTTTTGTTTTTTCATCAGTCACAATCATTTATTTACTTCTAATAAATACTTATTTTTCTCCCTTAAGTGCTTATTCATTAAATTATTTTTAAATGATTATTCATGTCATAACGTTAATTTTTCTTAAATTAAAATTAATTTATAATAACAAGTTAAAAAAATATAATTAAGAGTCATAAGTTATTGTTTAAAAAAACATTATAAACTCTTCTAAATAAATTATAAAGTACAATTTTTATAAAGATATAGATTAAATTAATCCACACTTATAGTTTTAAATGAATAAAATGAGTATGTACTCGTTTTTCTTCTTTATTAGGATGTTAGAAAGTTAAGAAGTAACATGTATACGAGTTTACTAAATTTGGTTGCTTGCTAATCATCAATCATTTTCTACTTGAAGCGTGTTGTCTCATGCAATGTAGAGATTTTTAAATTTGTTAGAATTAAAAAATATAAAGTTGAGAGATGGGATGATACCCAAAGAAAAAATAAAACACTATTAGATGAATGTATAGTAATTTATAATAGTAGTTCCTTCTTTTACATATTTTACATATTCCTTCTGATATTAAGTACAAATCATTATCAGGGAGTAATGTAATCCATATAGTTTACTGTGACATCATGTACACCTTCTACGTAGGTTATAAAATGGGATCACCCTCTTTAAGATACAATGCCGTGACAGTGAGAAAAAGTGGTGTAACAACTAACAAGACTTGTATTAAAAAAGTGGCATACTAGATGACGCATAGCGAGTCTCAAGAAATTCAGAATATGCATCCATCGAACAAGGAGCCAATTTGTCAGAAACAAACCCATTCACAACGCACTATCTAAAAAACAGCAGAAAATCACCTGTATTCTATTTTTCTAACGCACAAAAAAATAAATAACAATTATTATATTATTATACATATTTTTTTTATTATATATCTTTAAATGCATATTAAAAAAGCTAATAATGTTGATGCTTAGATTTGGTTGGATTTAGAAGGCAGTGAGACTCAAGATCGAAATTGGATGCATGAACAAGCTATTGTTGTTATTAGCATTGGGGAATAGAATTTGGAGTAAATATAGTTTCAAAGAAGAGTAGCATATGGGATTGGGACCAAGTGTCTGTCGTTTATGGTGCAAGGGAGGCCGTGCATGCGCGTTTCTTTAATTTGTTTATTTTAGTTTTAATTGGGGCATTATCATCATCGCGTTAACTTCCTCTGAAGGGTGGCCAAACTAATCTGCCATTTCAAATCATTTCCCATGTAAGACAGGACCAAACTTTCATTTCGAAAATTCTGAGAAGAAGGTGCAGCCGTGCAGCCGTGCTTGATTTGTTTTTTCAGGGCTTAAATAAGGTTTTGATCTTTTTCATTTTTATGATTTTATATTTTCTCTATTAATAATTTATTAACATATTTCTTTATTCATTTACACAACATTCAAGTTATCTCATGCTATTCGAATTTGAATGAAACATGATATGAATGAGATATATCATTAGCAATATTACATCTTTCATAACGTTGATATTAATCTTCTTACAATCAAACAAGGTTCTATCCGAATAAGCCATTATTATTGATACACATATGACACTTTGGAAGAAACCTGACACATAAGTATCAAGAATATGAAAAAGAAAAGCATTGCATGTGGGATTATGAGTTGGGTGCAAAGACGTAGCATTTTATAATTTAGAAGAAGTGGCGAGTTGGAGGAACGTACAAACAATCTCACATGATTTGATTTATAAAAGCAATGTTTATGCGTATTCATAACTGGAGTTTAGCAATAATTACAGGCATTATTAGTTGGTCTTTGGAATTGTAGAACCACCCTGATTTGATGTGTTTTCGTTTTTATGATTTTGAGGTCACTGTTCCGATACAAAGCCAGGAATCAAATCAACACTAAACAAAGTTGTGATACGCTATTGTCAACGCTTTTGGAGACTTATTATTATTATTACGTTCAATAATAATAATACAACTCAATTCCAATGCACCCGTAAATGCTAAGTTTGGAATAGGATTAAACTTTTGTAGATAATCAAATTAACAAGTACTATGAAACACGAAGATCTATTTAGACTTTAATTAAAGTTGACATTTGGCACACATTATGCAAATGTACAAACTGTATTTTACTTTTTGTGAAAAAATACTTTTTAGTATGTTCGTCTTAACATGTTTTTATTATAAGTAAAAATTTATTAAAAAATATGAAATTATAAGTTAAGTTGGATGCGTAAGATGACACGAAATCAAACCACTCTCTTTGTAAATACTTTGAACTTAATTTATTGAATTTGGATGATAGGTGGCTCGGAGGAAAGAAAGATATTGAAAAGAAAGGAATGAAGTTTCTTTCTTTTTTGAAAAAAAAAAATGATTTCTTTCTTTGTTTTTTTCTGAGATTTATATAAAAAAAAAAGATGAAAATAGAAAATTAACTAATTCTATTTTTTTTCAATTTCTCTAGAAAAATCAATTATTTTTATTGAAATTAAGATAGAAGGAAAGAAATTAATTATTTTGTCTAAATAAGTATTTTACATTTACCTCTTTTTTAATAACCTCACTCTTTTATAATTTAATTTCTATAATTTCTAAATTTAACTTCTTTTCATTCTCATAACAGTTTAATAATTATTATTAGTATATTTATAATTTATAATTAATAATTTAAAAAATAGTCATAAAAGTGTGTTAACCTTCTACGTCCCAATAAGGAAAAATAAAAAGGGTTTGAATTGTTATCCATCCCCGAAATTGGGATTAGAGAGACATTAAAGATGGAACGTGCATTGCCTTGAAGCTGACGATCAGGAACACGTGTGCTATCTTCTCTGACAAAACATGGCACTAGAAAAGACCTGTTCAGTATCTATTCATCGTAAAATAAACAAAAAGGAAGATCGCAATAATGTTTTCTAATTAAATTGTGATCTAATTCTCCTGTTGATATCTATATATAGTATGCGTGTATTTTTTATTTTTATTTATTTTATCAAAGTTTTTTAATTATTTAATTTTTAAATTTCATTTAATAATTAGCAAACGTATAATTTAAATATGTCATATTATTAATTTATATAAATAAGAAAACAATAAATAAGGATAGATGTAAAAAAAACTTAAATATAAAACATAACAAAATTCATTTTTATTTAAATGTTTTATATATTCTAACCTCTATAAATTTAAATAAATGAATGATATATCCCACTTTTATGAAATTTTTTTGTTAATTGTTGAATAAAATGTTAAAGTAAAATATTTAATAATTAAAAATATATAAAAACTAAACAAGTAACTAAAAATTAAAAAAATATCAAAATCACATATAAATTAAAGTGTAAGAATTATGATATAATTCAACATAAAATCTTGTAAATTACTTTATATAGATATTATTTAAGTAAATAAATAAATAATTGTATTAAGTTTTGTTAAAAATTACATTAAATTATAATTAAATAATTAAATGTTTTTATAATAAATAAATAACTTATTGTGACATTTGTTTTATAATAAAACTTTTAAAATTCATAGAATCTATATCTAAATATATAATAAGCTTAAATAATATGTAAATCAATGTTCTTTAAGCCTTTAAATAAATAAAAAGTGATGTAATCTTAAAATATTATATTAAATATTTAATAAACAATAACAACATAAGTACACATAAGAACATTTTAATCATTATAATATTTATATTTATTAAATATTTAATATTTAATTTTATAACTATTTTAAAACATTCAAAATTAACTCTAAAAAATAATGTTAATAAAATTATTTAATATAAGCAGGTCTAAATTGATCTGGATCTTATATATATTTACCCACAGAAAGCAAACAAATTACTTAACTTATTTTATCTTTACTAAAGAAGATATTTTCTATTATTCTTTTAAATGCATTTCTGTCCTCTTATTTTTACATTTTTAAAAATTTTATTTTTTATATTTTCTTTTTCTTTACATTTTTTCTTCTCAATAGAAATTCTTTAGAACAAGAAGATAAATATTCATATAACATGTTTAAATATATTCTAAATTCTTATATTTTATTATTTTTTATTTTGATTTTTTAAATTAATATTTTTAATTTTAATGACTGTTAAATAATAACATAATTAATTAAGAAAGTAGTGTTGGAAGTGGGTTATCATGAAGAAAAAGAAAAATTTAAAGATAATAAACTTATTTATAAATATTGAAAATATATTTAAAAACTTATTTATAAATATTACTTTTAAATAATAAAATATTAAAAAATTAAATAGCATGATATGTTATATGATAATATTATAACGTTAAATATATTTTTAATTTTTACATTTGTATAAATTTTAATATTATTTTTTAAATCAAGACTTTTAATTTTCATGACTGTTAAATAATAACATAATTAATTAAGAAAGTAGTGCTGTAAAAGTATAAAAAATATAGTTAATTATAACATTTAAATCATATTTAAATACGTAAATATCACATTAAAATAAAATTTATAATTGATAATATTAAGATAAATATAAATTCATAATTTATTTATTTTTTCAATTAAGGTCTTTAGTTTAAACTTTGTGAATTTTCATTAGAAAAATTAATTCTACCATTCTATAAATATTTTTGGTTGATATAATATTCTCCGGGCACTACTCAACAAATCATCATTAGATTGCACGTGTGTGACGTGTGCTAGGCTATTTGCTACCCAACTCTATTATTTCCAAAGTTTTTAAAGGTTAGTTAGGTCAAATTTTAATATCAAGATTTTATAAATAAATTTTATATATTATATAAATATATAATGATGTTATAAATGCATAGAGTAGATATTATTGTATAAATAAAATTTAAATACTTCTA